CGAGATTGTACGGAAAGTTGTTGATACCTCGGTCTCATGTTGCTACGGATGCGGAGCTCCGTTACAGACTTCCGATGTCGATTCTCCAGGATTTGTCGATCTCGTTACTTACGATTTGGTATGAAGCTTTCGATTTTTGGTTTCTAAAGCTGTTAGCTTTTTACATTTCGAGTTTCAGAATCTCAGTTTGGTTAGTTGTTTGATGAATTGGTGGAAGTGAAATGGTAATTAAAATATGAATCTTGTTATTGCAGAAGAAGAAACATCATCAGTTAAGAACAATAATCTGTGGAAGATGTCAGCTTTTGTCTCATGGACATATGATTACAGCAGTGGGTGGCAATGGAGGATATGCTGGTGGAAAACAATTTGTATCAGCTGATCAACTCCGCGAGAAACTTTCTCATTTGCGCCATGAAAAGGCTTTGATTATCAAATTGGTGAGTAGAATGCAACTTCTGTAATCTATTTTATGTCCCAATCATTAACATTCTGTATGATTTAATAATGCCTTTCTTGTTCACTGGATTCTCTTGCAGGTTGACATTGTGGATTTTAATGGTAGTTTTTTAGCTCGTGTCCGTGACTTAGTTGGGGCTAATCCGATAATACTAGTTATAACTAAGGTAAGGCTTTACAACCTGGCTACTTCTTCAATCTTTTCCAACTTTTCTCAGATAAACAAAAAACTGAGCTTGGTGCTTTTAGATTGATCTCCTTCCAAAAGGAACAGATATGAACTGTATCGGCGATTGGGTTGTAGAAGTAACCACGAAGAAAAAGCTTAAGTATGTATCAAGTACTTATCTACTAGGTTAGGTAATGATTTTAATGTTTCTGGAACTAGTGTCTGATTTAGATGGATATAACTTTACAGTGTCTTAAGTGTCCATCTCACAAGTTCGAAGTCTCTGGATGGAGTTAGCGGAGTTGCATCAGAAATCCAGAAGGAGAAAAAGGTAGCATACAACACCTTCAAGCTTTCTCGATGCTAGTGCTGAACATCTTGTTTCCTTTATGCTCAATATCGGATAATGTAACCTTCTGTACATTTATCTTCTGCAACCTAACCTCTCTATCCCTGTTTTTGTTTCAGGGGCGAGATGTCTACATCCTGGTATGTGCATTCGCAAATTTCTCACCAAAAAAAAAGAGTTTTAGTTAGTAAACATATCGCTGACTGATGCAAGTTCTTATTTTTTTACTTATTAACTTAATGTATCTAACGTATCTTAAATGAGAGGCAATGCTTATTAAAAAAAATCATTTTTCTCCGTTTGATTTTCTTTTATGACCAACAAACTCTACACTACACTGTTCTATATGATCCATAAATTTGCTTGCTGGAGATAGAGGCTGTGCATTTATATAAAGAACTTCTTTGACTGTCTGGCAAATATTCATTCATCACTTCTACATGCTTCACAGGGTGCAGCTAACGTAGGGAAGTCAGCATTCATCAATGCTTTGCTGAGTAAGTCATTCTTTTGTTCTCCATTATGTTTATGTGACTTGTTGTTACAGTTTCTATTTGCTTTTTACTTGGGTGCAGCTTTAGCCTGAATCCTGATATCTAGTAGGGCCAATTTCTCCACAATTTAGTTTGCATCTATAGAGAGTTGGAGTTTGATTGTTTATATTCTTAATTATACAGAAACAATGGCCGAAAGGGATCCTGCTGCAGCAGCAGCACAGAAGTACAAACCGATTCAATCTGCTGTCCCTGGAACTACCTTGGGTCCAATTCAGATCAACGCCTTCCTCGGAGGAGAGGTATAAACTTAAACCACCTTCAGGTTCAATATTTATCACCAGTAGACACGCTGCTAAAAGAATACCTTATTACATCAGAAGTTGTATGATACACCTGGGGTGCACCTACACCACAGGCAAGCAGCTGTTGTTCATTCAGATGATTTACCCGCCCTTGCTCCTCAAAATCGGCTCAGAGGCCAGTCTTTCGATGTAAGTCTACTGTTTTACACCATGTCAAAAGAGTACTTTACCATTGCATCAGCTTGATGATGATTATTGTGTGTTGTTCCTTACAGATTTCGACATTGCCAACTCAATCATCAAGTAGTCCCAAGGGTGATAGCTTAAACGGTTATTCATTTTTTTGGGGAGGTCTTGTCAGGATTGACATCTTGAAGGTAACGTAATTACCGAAATGATAAATTATGTTTCAGAGTGGATATTAGTTTTTGATCAAATCATTACATACTTGACCAATTGCAGGCTCTACCAGAAACATGTTTCACATTCTATGGACCAAAGGCTCTAGAAATTCATGTAGTACCAACCAAAACAGCAAACGAATTTTACCAGGTAAGTTTCTTACACCATCAATATCAACCTTGTTCCTGATTTGAGGACAAGTTTTACCATTTTACTTGGTACTCATTTCTTCTGCAGAAAGAACTGGGGGTGCTTCTCACACCTCCATCAGGGCAACATCAGATGCAAGAGTGGCAAGGTTTACAATCTCACCGTTTACTCCGTGTTGAATTTAACGATGCACGAAGGTGAAATAATCGGTCATCATCTATTCCTATCTTTCTTGGTATTATAACGAATGCTCTTCACCTAATGTAACACATTTCTTTAGCAGACCAGCTAGTGATGTGGCGATATCTGGGTTAGGATGGATTTCAATTGAACCAATCCGTAGAACACGAGGTTCCGAGCCAAGAGATCTCGATGATGCAGAGCATGAGATAAGTCTTTGTGTGAGTGTCCCAAAACCAGTTGAAGTTTTTATCCGACCAACATTACCCATTGGCACTTCTGGTGCAGAATGGTATCAGTATCGTGACTTAACCGACAAGGAAGAAGGAGTAAGACCCAAATGGTACTTTTGAAAATTTTGTTTTGATCCAAAAGTATCGACTTAGCTTGGCAAACCAGAGTTATATAATATACTGTACTATGTAACAAAATTATAAAATAGTAAATTGTTTGTAATGAAATCTACTACTATTATTGGCATTCAATAAATCAAACATCAAAGTCAACAACAAATCAGAAACTGAAAAACTTAGAAAGCTCTACATCAACAATTCAACATATATAATAATAATACTAGACAGATAAGTCACTACACTCCAATGGCTTCTCCGGTGGATGAACCACGTTCATCTTCTGCCGGAACCACCACATTGTCATACACTAAAGCAGCGGTTGCTCCTCCAAGCAAAGGCCCGACCCAATACACGGCTTGGTTCTTAAAGCTTCCATAAACCATAGCCGACCCAAAGGCACACGCCGGGTTCATCGAACCTCCAGAGAACGGACCAGCGGCTAGAACATTGGCTCCTGCAACAAACCCAATGAATATCGGTCCCACGGCTAAAGGTACGCCCCGTCTCGGGTCGTTAGCCGTGAACACAGTATAGACCAGGACAAACGCTAAAACACCTTCAAGAACCGATGCTCCGAATCCCGTCATTTCGCCGGCGATCTTATAGATCGGAACATGCTGATACATTCAAACAGGAAATATTTTTATATG